TGATTATCTTTGAGCTATTTGAATAGACACCTAATTAATCATCTTGCGCTAAAAGAAGGCATTTTACAGTAGGCTGCAGGATCCTAATATCTCTCTCAAGTTTTTATTTTTACCCTGTAGAATTGTTTCTTTTTGCGGGGGGTGGAGGGGGTGCTCTTTTATAAACAGGTGTGAAGTAGTTGCTAATGCTTGTGGTTTGGGCACTCTTTTCCTCAGCTTACATTTAGCCTCACCTGTGGTAACCCATGCATGGTTCTTTAAGCAGTTTCTGGTATCTGGAGCTCATCTCAATTTTTCCACAAGCTGTCAAGAAACTCCTACCAGTCCCCCACCTCCTACTCACTTCCCCATTCATAATCATGAGTTAAATCTGGGCTCAAGGACATTTAGGTTGGCTCAGCACAGATTTTATACTTGCATTTTGGGGGACAGCCACTATGCTAAAAGATTCATAAAACTAATATTCTTTGTCTTCAAAATGAATCTGGTTTCTGTTGAGAGTTTCTATTGAGAGCTGTAGTGAGTAACAGATGTACACCCAAGAGGTAGCACAACTTTTGTATTCCAGTGACAGAAAACAGCTATTTATAAGATTTTAATGAATGTATTCTGTGGCTCCAGCATGGAGACTCAGTAAGCCATTTATTTACCATATTATATTTTATTTGTTCTCCAAAGGGTGTCTTGACTTTCACTTGCCTCCAATTTTTTACTTAAATAAGAGTTTTCAATTAAATAGAGTTGTATTAGCACTAATCCGAATCTACCTTATGCTGATACCATTGTGTTTTTCTGTTGTTCAGGCACTAGTATTGGTGGATCGAGCAGTGTCTAGGGACATTACACCTAACTTGATAATGATGGTTTTACTAAGCCCTTATCCTGGCCAGGCCTCTGGGCATTGTACAGATAATTAAAATTTGATCATAAAAAATTTTAAACACAATGCACCTTAGCAATAAGATTTTTCTACTTTTAAACGTGATTTTAAAACTCATTTTAAAAATACATTTCCTTGGCCTAGTGAATTTGCTTTCTTTTTTTCCCAAGGATTACAGAAAGTGCATAGCAAATTCAGCCTTCAGAATACCCAGGAGCTGAAGACTCAAGTAGGCTACAGCTGTCTTCACCCACAGTATTCTAAAAGAACTAATGAGATGAGAAGTCTGCAGCTGGTGGCAAGCACAATAAACCATGAGCCAAGGGCTTCTCTTCATCAGAGCCTCCCTTTTCCCCATGGGATCCCAAAGGAGACAGAATACTAACAAAGCCAGCAGGCTGTCTCATTCCACACTATTGCTCATTTGCAGCTATAATTGGTAGCTGAGGTTGCATTCTGTATGCTGAAACTGTCATACATGAAGGAATATATTTGTTCATTGTGATACGGATATAAATCGGCCAGTTTTCAAATAAAGAGAAACTAAACTAGATACCCTACAATAAAATTGTAGCAAAGAAGATTCTGTTCAAGAATATTAAATATTTGTTATAAAGGTACAAAACTGAGATGGTTAAAACTACACTTGCTTCCTGCTTTTTAATACCTTGCTACTTAATTCATCTGATTAAACATTTACGTATTCAAACCTACATAAGAAAAGCACAAAAATTCCTAGGTTTTGACAAGATACATTATCCTCATCTTTAGGGTTAAGGTGCTATTGTTAATAATTGGATTTTGTTACATTTTTTGTATGTTCAATGTTTGCTGCATTATAGTCAAGAGAGAAGAGCCAGGAAGTCTTACCTTTGGAGATTTGTATGTGTATGTATAGTATTTTACATGCACACACTCCTACCTCAGAGGCAGATCTACTTTGATACCTTTGCTGCTGCTGCTGCTGCTGCTGCTTCATGTTTTTGAAATGTGTTTTGCTTATCTGGCTGTTGTGGACGTACTCCTGCCACCTCCTGTGTGGTGTGCTAGAGTGAGCCGAGGACCAAGGCTACGAAGGCTTGAGTTGAAGCCCTAGGATAAGAGAGCCATACCACTTCCTTGTTGGGACTGTGGCTTCCTCATCTGCAAAAGGAGCAGCTGGGATGGCCTTCAGGGTTAGGTTTTCCTCTGTAATTCTGTGAGTCCTTAGTTCAGAAGAGTATTGTAGCAAATAACTGGCATAATGATGGAGGCTCGGAAGTAGACTTTCTGCAACAGTATGTGAGTACAGAGTGGAGAAGTTTTGATGCATTATTCCATGTTCTTCAGTTGAATTATTCTGTCAAATAGACATTGAGAAGCCCTGAGATTGTTACCTTGGCATGGAGCTGGGGTTAGGAAGGGCTTGAAGGAGTGTAGTCAGCAAAGCCTGCTGCCTCATCCATCTGCTCGTTTTCACCCTCACTGGTGCAGTAAAAGTGTGGTAGTTCTGCGGGCTCCCTTTCATCAGTTTGAAGGTTCCCTGCCCTCTTTTCCTCATGTTTTAACACATTTTAACTATCTTCCAGTTGTGGCATGTTTTATTGTCTTAGTGTGTTCCTTTTAATGGCACATAAAATGGTGGAGCATCCTCTAACTGACAGCCTCTTAGATTCAGGAAATGTGGTATTTACCATTCAGTGCATGCCAGGCTTTATAATATCTCAGACTTCGCATTAAAAAAAAAATTGAGCAGTATATCCACAGTGAGGTCACACCTGAGATGGTTAAGAAAAAAAAATTATTTTCCCCTTAAATGGGATGAAATGTAAAACACTCACCAGGCCTATGGGCATTATACAGATAATTACAATTTAATCATAAAAATTTTAAACATTCACCTTAGCAATTAAGGTTTTTCTACCTTTATTTTTTTTAAAAGGTTTTATTTATTTGAGAGAGAGTGCGTAAAATGCGCATAAGCAGCAGGGATGGGCAGGGGAAGAGGGAGAAGCAGATTCCTCACTGAACAGGGAGCCTGATGTGAGGCTTGATCCCAGGACCCTGGCTGGGCTCATGAGCTGAAGGCAGACACTTTACCGACTGAGCCACTCAGGCGCCACAAGGTTTTTCTGCCTTTAAACTTGATGCTAAAAAACTCATTTTAAGAATACATTTCCTTGGCTTTTATCAGTTGATTTTGATTCTGACTATAATTCTCTTCATTCTTTATTGGCAGTTAACCCATACTCCAGGATTTTGGTTATCTTTCTTTGTTTGCCTTTCTCTCTTTGTCCCAGCCCAACTGTGACTTTCTAGGAGCTAGTACGAGGTAGATGTTGGTTCTCTTATATTCTCAGACCCATCAGACTACCTCATAGCATCTTGTGTTTGTCTTCTACATGGGAGCTGTAGGATAAATAGACCTTGATTGAGGGAAATGGTGTCAAGGTGATAATTTGATACAGTGTTAAATATTTTCAATTTTGGAGAAAAGTGAGCTTGTTTCTAGGTTTCAATTCTAAGCCTCAGAGCTAGAGAAAATGTTCTATGGCACTACATGATTATGCTAGCAGGATGGCCAATTTTGCACTGTGAACCCAGGTCTTGAGACCGTCTGTCCAATTGGTACTTTTATTAGCAGTGAAGTTGTTAGTTTTGAGGGTAAATTTAAATTGGAATTTAAGAATTTGTGTTAGTTGACAGTAATTGAACTTTCCTTGATGTGCCCAGACACATGAGTAACTCCAGTTTTCCAACTCCTTGCAGGTTGCTTATCCTGGGTTATCGTTCCTGGATAATGCTGACTGACCTAATACCTGTGGTTACACCACATTGTGTATTTTAAAGCACTAAGACTCAGTGTACCCAGCTAAATTTGCTTGTGTGGTAATTATGGCACGCTGTTGGGGCCTTTTTGAAGTTTTGTTTTGTACTAGAACCTTACATTTTTCCTTCTTCACATAATTTACCTATAACTTCTTTAGGAATTGACATATCATGTGCATTTCCTGAGTAAGTGTTGAATCTTGAGTGGCTGCTTCTCAACACATTTTCTTTGATGTGTGAAAGTGTGTCTGATGCTTTAGAGTATGTTCAGTGCTTGCTGTTATCTCTAGAACAATGATTTTTTTTCATCTTTGACTTGTCTGGGCATTTTCCCCAAAGTATGTGGTCCGTCCTTAAATGCCATGAAGGACCCCGGGCTCAGAAATTCTGGAGAAGGCAGGAGCTCTCCCTTTGTAGAATTTTCAACTCCCCACCTGACCTCTGCTCACTGGTACCATTTAAACTCCTTTCTTTTTCTAAATCTGGACGTTAGCTCTTCAGCGGGAGTTTTTTCCTGTTGCTAGATTGTGTGTATGGTATATATGTGTGTAATCAAAAGAACTTTTGTAAAGCAGATGGTTTAAAAAGATTTACTTCTCTCATTTCCTCCATTTTTTATGGAAGAGGATGTTAGGGAAATAGAATTGAAACACACTAGAACTTTGCATAAAAGCTAAGTCTTAGGGCCCTGTGACATGATATAATTGAGGTAGTCCCATCTTGGAGTCATAAACCCTTCCCTTGACTTCTCTGACAAGGGACTGCGATGGGAGTGCAGTCCCTCTCCCAGGAGTAGACCAAAGGATTTGCACTTTATAGGTGTCTGGCCTCACATCATTGGCGCATCCAGGACAGACCCAGCCGTGGAAGATATCAGGGGTGCCACAGGATCAATAGTTCTGATCTACGTTCTCAGCCACAGTAGTCGCTCTCTGTCATCATCTATGGGTATTGTCAGAACCAGGATGGGTACCTTTTTTTCTCGAATATGTCTATACAATACACATATCAAAATGTTGAAACTGTTAAATGTGGGAAGATTTGTTCTTGGAGATAGCTGTTCAGTAACTAGTGGTTTGCTCATCAAGACTTTAAGTACTAAATATTATCTAGTCCTATTGCCTTAATGTTAAAGTATAAAGCACAGAGAACCAAACCAAAAACTTAATGTCTTAATGAAGCATTTTCCTACTTTTACACAAAAGCACAGTAAGTCTAGTCAGTTTCTGTCCTATGTTAGTAGCTGTTCTGGCAAGGTTAAAGAATTTTCTTTGGGTTTCTTCTTTGCCTCTGACTTTGTTTTGCTTTGCAGGACTACAAAGCTGATGAAGACCCAGCATTATTCCAGTCAGTCAAGACCAAGAGAGGCCCTTTGGGACCCAACTGGAAGGTACTGGATGTTGACCTTTCTGACAGGCAGAGTCTTGGCAACAGACCACTTGACAGGTCCTGAGTCTGGAAGAGCTGGTGACGTTTAAGTGAAAAATAGAAATGGCACAAAAATAGTTTTATTTGCGATAAGGACTTACAGCCAGTTGCAGTTGGCCAGCAAGCCTGTGCCGCATTAACAAACAGAACGTAGCCAGACTGTCACTTTCAGCATAATGTTATTCTGATAACTCTTAAAAGAGACAAGTGATTTAGTCTTTGGGGATTGTAATGTTCTCTTTTGAGACTTGAAGCAGTACAAAAATCCATGTAAAATGAAGGTTTATAGTTTAAATTTAGTCTTAGTAAAAACTGAACAAGTTCCCTTCACCTGAGCTCATGTTCCTGGCCTCTTAATAGTTATATTCTGGAAATCAGGACACCAGAGAACAATTTTGATGGCAAGTAGTCATTTTCTAATAAAGAACACATCCTCACTTTATTCATGGAAGTAAGAAAAGCAGTGTCAAGATAATCATATAAATTGCTATAGAAATATAGTGCATTTTAAAGATAACCACTAAACTAAATGACACACCCATAAGTAAGGCTTGATATGGTGATAGCAAGTTATTAGTTAATTTGACAGGAGCAGGGGAACAGTAAAACCTAAACATACCCAAAGCAGAGTCCTACCAGTATGTTTTTACTGGTTAACCAATCTGTTCATGCTTCAACCAGTCACTGATCATCGATAAAAGATATCTGGGTGCTAGTTGTTGCTTACAGATAGAGGATTGATTACTGTAACAGCTCTACAGATAACCCATTGAGTGGTTCTTTGTGGGTGACATAACTGTTTTTGCAGACTTGTACATCAGCTAAAATGAAGAATGGGTCTGACTTTATTCTTTAAGAAATGATTCATAGTTATCTTAATTTTGCATTTATTCTCTGGGTAGAGTTTAGTTCAAGATTCTCCCAATTGAATAGCTATGACCAGAGATTTTTAATTTTAATTGCCTTGAAGTGATATGTCACTTAAAAAATTTGTCACTGAACAAATTCAGTATGTGTGATCTAAATTTAGTTCAGTGGATTTAAGGAATTTCCCCAACCTTTTTCTGATTTCTAGCTGTGGACTTTAGAACTCCCTGTCTGAGGAGAAGTCTTTCCCCTTTGGGATTTAACCTGACCTTCCACAAAAAAAAAGTGCCATGTTGGCCACCTCTAAGGCAGCTCTGTCTTCTAGAAGGCCATCTTGCTCCAACAAGTCCTAATTCTAACTAGTGATGCTTTTACAGGGAATAGAGAGAGAAGCCCAAAGTTGAGACTCAGAGTTGTATTAAACATCAAATTTTCTTTGTCAACTTTTCAAGTGTACACTTGAAGGGATGATACTCATTGTGTGGTAGGCTATTAGGCTTGGGCTCCAGTCTCTCCTGTTGGACCTCCTACCCAGTTTCAAAACAGGCAGCACAAGTAGTTTGACACTGTGATTTTTGCCTAATTTCCAACCTTTTAGAACTTAGAATATGATTTTTATTCCTTTCTTATTTATAATTTTTATCCTTTTAACTAACATTGCCTTATCTTCTATCATCCATTAGTGGTTAAAATTCTAGAATAGGTTTAGTTTTTAGAAATAATGTGAATTCTACATTTTTTCAGGTTGCATTATTGCAGTCTTCCCCCAGTGTGTGTATTTGTGTGTGTGTGTATGTCTGTGAGAGAGAGAGAGAGAGAGAGAGAGAGAGAGAGAGAGAGAGAGAGAGAGGGAGAGAGAAAGGAGGGGGCAGTTGCTTATTTCTCTGTGAGGATGCTGGCTGATAGTAATCCCTTTCTACTCATTTATCTCTTGGTTATTAACTTTAGCCAAATGATGGTGGATGTACCTACTCTTATAAATGGAATTATTGCTTAACTGAATTTCATTGAATTACCATGATCCCAGAAATAACTAGTAGTCCCCTGTCTCCGCAGTTTCTCTCTCCACAGTTTCATTTATCTGTGGTCAGCTGCATTCTGGAATTAGTTGACCTTCTGATGTCAGAAAGTCAGTAGTAGCTTGACACTGCATCACAGTGCCTGTGTTGTTCATCTCACTTCATTTCACCAAGTAGGCATTTTATCATCTCACATCATCACAAGAAGGAGCTCAGTAAAATAAGATACTTGGAGAGAGAGAAAGACCACATTTGTGTAACTTTTATTACACTATTTTGTTGTAATTGTTCTGTTTTGTGATTAGTTGTGTCTCATTGTGCCTAATTTATAAATGGAACATGGTCATAGGTGTATATATATATATGCAGTAAAAAAAAAATATATATATATATATATATATATGGTCCAGCACTGCCTTTGGTTTCAGGCCTGCACTGAGGGGGCTTGGAATATATTCCCCATGGATAAGGGGGACCTGGTGTAATTATAACATCTGCTTAGTCCTCTGAAGGAAAATAAAGAGTAGAAAGGATGACAGTAGCTGGTAATACAACATAGAGAAAACTACGGACTGACTCAATCTTCTGAGCATCTCCTATAATTGTCTTCAGCGGGCCCCATTTGTCAGTAACTATAGTCCTCATGGCACTGAGGGTAGTAGTACTGGATGATAGTTGCAGATTTCGGTACTTCTAAAATATGAGAGAAGGCAAGGAGTACATGGTAATTAGGGTAAAAAGGAAAAAGAAATCCTGTTCTGGACCCGCTTACCCCAGAGTATATGTCAGAACATTCCTTTGTCAGAGCTGTTTGGTAGCTCCATAGCTGCTCCAGAGGCCTTCAATGTGCCATCCCACCCTGACCTTTCAGTCTTCTTTTCCATTGCCCCTCAGGAGAAACTCACCTTAAAAGAATACATTCAAAAGTATATTCAGTACTAAGTGCAAACTCTATAATCTGTTTGATACTTTGTCTTACTTATCCCACACTGGTGTGTTCCTTCTGAACTATTGCAGTATTTACTGCTTGTCTGTGCCAGACTGGAGAGTGGAAAAGAAACTTCTCCTTGGTGCCAGGCACTATGCAAGGTTGTGTTTAATCTTCATGACCTTCCTGTGGGGTAAGTACAACTGCTTCATTATATAGATGAGAAACTTGGTCAGACACACAGATAATAGTTGTAGGAGAAACAGTAGGACGTCTCCCATTTCCATAGCACTTGATTCAGTGGTGGGCACAGAGATGAGTAATGTGCAGAGACATAGCAATTTCTGACTCAAGCCCGTGACTCTCAGTTACCACTCTGCATCTTTTATGCCCTGTTGCATGAAGGCACTTGTGTGGCTCTCTGTATTCATGGTATTTGTCAGAATTTAATTGCTGTTAATACCAGTTGTACGTTTTCAATGGTCAGTTGTACTTTTTCAATCTGTGGGTGAAATCCATTCCCTTATCCCATGTGTTACAAGTTGTGACTTCAGTAACTTAATCCTAGCTCTGGGCCTGGGCTTCCACATCTCTAAAATGGGAGGGACATTGTAACTGCCTCAGAAGGTTGTTGCCAGGACTGAATGTTAATGAGTGTCACATTCCCAGTGCAGAGAAAACTTTGGTCTTTGGGAATGAAAAGCTGCATCATCTCTTGGCGTTGATTAGATCAATGCATAAGCTACTCTATTTATGACACAGTTCTTCCTTTTCTCTGTCTAGTATCAAGGGATTCAGTTTTTCTAGTATCTGGGAGTTTTCAAACCCATCTTGACTCACCTGTCCTTACCCCTTGTGGTTATGTGTGTTTAATGAGTGCTTCTCTTGGGTCAGCCATAACGCAGAGGCCACATAAAATGGCTAGAGAGCCTTTCCTAGTAGGGGTCATGGGAGTGCCAGGGAGTAGATTTTCATATTTTCCAATAGGATTAGAGCATAGGCTTCTTCTTTTTTTTCCTTTTTTTTTTTTCCTATGGTATGTATCATACCTTTTATCTTTTAAAAACTGTAGTTTGTAGACCCAGAGACGGGGGCCTTAGTTATATATTCATTTTTCCCTCTAAAAGATCATCTTTAAAATCTGAGCACATGAATTCTATTTTGTTATGTAGTGTTCAATGTTTAAATGATTCTCTGTATACTAATACCTGATAAAGATTTTTGCTTCAAAGTAGAATTGTGCATTACTTAGGAATTTAAATGTTTCTTTATAGTACTGCATGCACATGCCTGTGTATGTGTGCATGTTTTGGTTTCTTTTGGTTTTGAGGGCTTTGTGTGTAGTGTGACATTGGTGTGAGCCCATTCTAATGGTTTATCACAAGATAATTAAAATTAAATTAAAGGAATTAAAGTAGATTCCTTTAACTTTCCAGTTTACCTCCTCTGAACTGAAGAATTGGCATTTTAACAAATTGAAACACCATCTTTGAAGATTATGGTGTCACTTATATCCTATAGCAAAGCCTCATTTCTTTCTTCATTTAATCCCGACTCCTCATGAAGACTTAAGCTTCTGTGTCTACATATATAAGATAGTTAACATGCCTGTGAAGGTCTTTGTAGAATGCTTTGCCAAAGTGTCTGGCCCTTAGAGTGCTTGCTATGTCTCAGGAAACTTCTCTGGTGTCTGAACATTGGGGTACAGTGTATCAGGTCAAATGAAGATGTTGATCTAGAAATTAGAATTTCTAGATAAGTTTTATGTCCTCTTTATATGTATATCATATATGCTCTTTCTAACCATAAAAGCACGTTCTAATGTTCTAATTCCAGTCTGGAGCAAAAGCTCTGGCAGTAGGAGCTTTCGCAACATTATGTCATGCTGTTTACCTGCTCACTCCTACTTTAGATTCATTTTAGAATTACCAGAGAGGCTATTCTGGATCCTTCCAAGCTAGTGGAGGACAGCCATCTTTGTGGATTATAGGAATGCTTATTTGTTCCCTGCCCAGGAAGAGAAAGGCTCCTTTCTGCCTCACATCTGTGGAAAGAAAGCGGGAGCCTTGCTTGTCAGTGGCCTGAAGTAAAGATACCTCAAGGTCCTGTTGGCCAGAGATGGGAAAAATGGAAGTGGGGCTGAGGGAG